TAGCTGACAGTTTAGCAAAACAAGGGGCAGAAAGGGATTCCTTGTTTTGGGCTAAGTTGTAATGTTAGTGTCCTTGTATCTTTGTATTTTCTTCTTTCCTTTCTTGAAGTTCTTTGTGACTCTTGGAAGATAAGTGTGTTTGTCTTCCACTTGTAAATTTTCTTGATGAATTAATGAAAGTGTTATTGATCAAAAAAAAAAATACGAAGTTTTTCCACAAAATGGCAAATGCCCGTGTAAGGGTCTCTTCAATCAGCAAGCTGGTGTGGGAGGATAGGAGTGGAGAATCATGTTCTAAGATTAAATCAGTAGCCACCTCTTTCTATAAAAATCTTTATAAAGAGAGGTGGGCCCATAGGCCATTTCCCTCTGAGCTTCCTTTTAAGCAATTGAATGAAGAGCAGAAATTCTGGATTGAAAGACCCTTTACAGAAGAGGAAACCAAGGCAGCAGTCAAGAAGGTAGAATGTGATAAATCCCCTGGTCTGGATGGGTTTTCAAACCTTTTTTATTTAAAATGCTGGGATATTGTGAAGAAAGACTTGTTGAAGGTGTTCCAGGCGTTTCATACAAATGCATCACTGCAAAGAAGTTTGAATGCTGCATTTATCACTCTCATCCCAAAGATTGAGGGGGCTGTAAATATTAAGGATTTCAGACCCATCAGTCTCCTGCACAGTTTTTACAAAATCTTGGCTAAAGTCTTGGCAGAAAGAATGAAAGGTGTACTAGGTAGTGTTATTTCTTGTAACCAAAGTGCATTTGTTCCGGGCAGACAGATGGTAGATTCAATTCTCATTGCCAATGAACTGCTAGAATCTAGAGGAAGAGAGGGAACTCTGGGTGTCATTTGTAAACTTGATATTGAGAAAGCTTATGACCATGTTAACTGGCAATGTCTGGACTTGGTATTGGAGAAGATGAATTTTGGGCAGAAATGGAGAAACTGGATCAGAGTATGTGTTAAGACCCCAAAATTTTCTATCCTAATTAATGGCCAATCAATGGTTTTTTTTGGTATCATGGAAATCCTAACTCTTTTTTGCAAGAAGGCTGCAGAGAATGGGCTTTGGGATGGCTTTGCAATCTCTCCAGGAAAGGAAAAAGTTAAYGTCCTCCAGTTTGCAGATGATAACTTATGCTTTGTTGATGCTTCCCCAAGTCAGTTGGAGTTAGTGCTTGGAATTTTGAGTTGGTTTGAAGTGGTGTCTGGACTCAAGGTTAACTTGAATAAGAGTCAGATCATCCCTGTGGGTCTTGTTACAAACTTAGAAGAATGTGCAGAAGTGATGGCTTGCCAAATTGCTTTTCTCCCGGTCAAGTATTTGGGGCTTCCTCTTGGGGCTAAATGCTCTTCCTCTGAGACTTGGGTTCCAGTTATTGAGAGAATGGAGAGGAAATTGGCTTTTTGGAAAGCTAAATATCTCTCTTTTGGGGGCAGAGTGACAATGATTAAGAGCACTCTCTCTAATCTTCCTACTTATTTCCTCTCCCTATTCCCCATTCCAGTCAAAATAGCAAATAGATTGGAGCAAATCCAGAGGAACTTCTTATGGAGGGGATGGGAGGAGGAAAAGAAGACCCACATTGTAAATTGGGAGCAAGTGTATAAGAAAAATGTGTTAATTGTCACCTCTTTAAAAATTCATTTGCCTAGTCAACATGGTGTAGTCATGTAACTCACAAGAAGCATTCACTTAATTTGGCATGGTCGAATAATAGAGACCTTGAAAGCAAATGACATGGGTTATAGCCATCTCTCTCTCTCTCTCTGAGACATGATTTGTTTGATTCTAAGTCGTCTCATGCATTATAATGGGTTTGATATTGATGAAGGGAAATTTGGCCCGACCTCGCGATCGCCCGACACGTGGCAAAGGCAAG